AACGCGATTTGTCAAATAGCGGATAATAAATCCCCCGTCATCAATTTCAAACGTGTCCAACGAACGGGCCACGGCCATAAAACGTAACCGGCCGACTGTATTTTTACGCCTCGAGTTGTCGAGCAACGATTCGAGAGAAAAAAGAAAAAAAAAAAAAAAAAAAAAAAAAAAAAAAAAAAAAAAATGAAAAATGGAAACGATATCAAACATTCGGTAACGAGCGAGTGATAATGTATTCGCATTCGTTCCACGGCCGACGCGATCGACCACGCGTGTGTCGAGAGAGAGAGAGAGAGGGGGATATGCACACCGGAAACGGGTCACCTGTCCACCGTTTCCAGCTTCCGTGTCACCTCTGTCGATGGAAGTTTCGCGCCAACGTTTTACCGGCAGAACGAGCAATTAATCCTGGACGATTCTGTCGGTCGAGATTAATCCTTTTATTTCGTTCGGGGGGAGGGAGGAAGGGAGATCCATGGCTCGTCAATTTTTTCCGATTAATGCATTTAATGATCGAGTCTCGCTCTTGAACATCCTAAAAATTGTTTTTTGTAGGATAGTTAATCGAATAAAAGTGAAAGTATAATATGATTCCTTGTTTGAATATGGAATAACGTATGTAACTTGAAGATATTTTCAAGTATTAAGTTGAGAAAAGAATCATTCGTTTTCTATAATAATTTTGATAGAATATTCAAATAAAAGAACTTAAAATAATACAATATAATTGAAAGAGAAATTATTATATACAAATTTTATTCAATTTGCATTGTTTGCATTATTTGCAAATATTTGAAATAGACTTTTTTTAAATATTTTATGTTTTCATATTATATCTTGTCTTTCCTATCTTCATTTTATTAAAAATTTATTTTCCTTTTGCACTTATTCAAATTTTTGATCATTGTACAAACAAAAAGGTTTTTAAGAAAAATAAAAATGAGAAATTAAATCTGAAAATAAATTAAATTTTAATTTAATTATATAATTCTATATAAGGCATGCTACTTTATTTTCAGAGCAATGAAAATATAAAATTAATAATAACAAAAATAAATAAATAAAATATATTTTAAATATTTAT